CTGCCTCTCTCCCAAGTCTGGACCAACTCAAGACTTGGCCCAAGCCTTGGTTTCCAGCTCTGAGGGGAATCCAGAGTACCTCTATTGCCACAGTGGTGGCACGGAACCCACGACCCCTTTTGTCCCCCCACCCTTCTTTGACTGTACTTGAGAAGATGCTGCTGTCTTCAGCGATACTCCTGGGTCTTCTGAGGCAGAGTGGGGGGATGTCTGCAGAGAAGGTGCCAGCCCCTCCCTGTAGTCCCTGTATCACCATCCTGGGCTGGCGGGCCCCTCAGCATGCCCCTTTATGAGGAGACCCCCATGCCAGAGGTAGAAGAGAGCACGGAGCCTCTGAAGGTTTTACTGGGACGGGGCCCGGAAGAAGCAGCGTGGGGACCCTGAGTGCATTCCTGGTGCACGCGGGAATCTTCCATACTCTGACACCCAGGTCTTGGTGCCCCCACCACTCTGCTGGCTGAGGAACCATGATGACCCTCTCCTGGCCTTCTTGGCCCACTGTCCTATTTACCGTCTCAGTGACTGGATGCCACTGAGTGGACGCTGCTGCCTCATGGAGACCCCGTGTGTGTCAGAATAGAACTGTGCTCACAGGCTGTCAATGACCGGTCTTTCACCAAGGCCTTTCTTTGGAGGTACCTCTGCTGAACTCGAACCTCCAACCTTTCAGTTAGCAGCTGAGCACGCTGACCGTTGCACTACCCAGGGGCTCCATTTGCTGTCCACGTGCCCCAAACTCTGCTGGGGTTTAATTCTTAGCCATGACCAACCTGGCCCAACCCGGCCCCACTCTTGGACTTCAGCCTAAATCAATACCTTTGGGAACTTCCTGTAGTGTTTCCACGAGCTTTTCCCACAAAGAACCACCAAGGAGGCTGCTCTAGGCCCTGGGCCTGGTAGGCTGGTGCCAACTTTGTCCTCCACCAGCTGTGCCTATGGCTTCCCCCTCCCCACCCAGCACCTCTACCCAGGATGAGAGCCGAGACAGACCCCCTGGATGGAGAACTCGGTCCACTTCTGTAGGAAGATGACACTGATTTCCAAATCTAAAACTACCTTTATTTGGGATTGGCTCAACGTGACGTCATCATCAATCAGTAGAATTATCAAACAGGAAGTACAAAAATATACCGTTGGACTTTTACAATGACCCTCACATCATCAAGCTTTAAAAAAACACATAAAAGTTGTACAATCTGGCAGTTTATAAAATATAAAGCTAAAAAGAGAATTTCAGTCTCCACGAGGATTGTATTCTACACTTAACACACACCAACGCCATGATTAACCGTCCACAGAGACAACACAATGGCACAGGATTAAAAAAAATTAATAAAAATCACCCAAAACTGAACACTTTACCCCGACCAAATGATTCACCTTTAATGACAAGACTACTGCAGGGTGGCCCAGTAGAAGGACACAGTATAATTTTTCCTTTTCCAGTTTTCAAATGGTCTGGGGAGCCCACCGCAAACCTGGTGTGCTCTGAACAGGTACGCTTGTTACTGGAGACACTTGCGAGTGAAAATTAAATAAATATAAATAGGTTCAATAAATAGGGCATTGCAGAAAGAATGCACCACCAGCCTTGCTCTGTGAAGCTACAGCGTTGACTGGTAGTCAACTTTCTAGGTCAGTGGGGACGCCCCCGTCACAGCTTGTGGGATACTGAAAAGGAATACTGTACCCACCAAACACACATCAAGAGCATGTGTTGAGGAGGAAGGCTGGGGCTTTGGCTGGAAGCGTTAGTTAAGGCTCCTCCAGCGTGAAGCTAACCGTGAGGTTTCCCAACGAGCAGAAGGGATTTAAGTGCTCATACAAAGAACCAAGCCAGGGGCCTCGTGGGAAATCACTGTTTCAGAGAGAATACAGAGGCTAGAAAGAGAGGCGGCAGACACTTTGGTTTAAGAGGCAACAGCCCACCCCCCAGGAGACAGAGCTGCTGCCCACCTGTTCGAGACCCCTGGAGACTACTGTCTTGTGGGCAAAGTCAAGGCCAGGCTGGTGAAGGAACAGGCAAAGAGAAATGCCGGAAGATACAAAGAACAACAATTTCAAAAAACAACGAGAGTAGAGTGAGAGAGCTGAAAAAGAACTTAGAGGCTCCTGAGGGGGATGCGTGCCTTCTTTCAGTTCTTCGGGCGCAGATGCTGTGACTGTTGAACCCTCCCACCTCCTGTGAGGACCAAAGGAGCAGAGTGAGATGGAGAATGGGCAGTCTCAGAAAAACCAAAGTGGACCCAAGTTCAACTTCTGAAAAGAAAGCAGCCAAGAGGAGAAAGTACTACATCTACCAGACAGATGAGATGAACCACCACACCTCTGACTGTTGATTGAGAACTATCGGTGCGCCACATCACACAAGACCTTACTGAGTGGACTGGCGCTGATGCTGAGCAGTCGGGCAGGGAGAAAACACTTTGAAGGATCCACTCACCAGCAGATCTTCCGATATGACGTGTGTGTTGACCATTAGTGGGACGTGTCATTAGGAAGCACCTAGGCTGAGGAAAATGCCTTTGCACCCAGGACTTTAGGTGTCATACATGAGATGGTCCAGTGATACCAAAATGCCCAAGATGCAGATGCTTTGGAGTGCTTCTGAAAAGGCTCAAAGAAGCAACCAGAGACCAGTTCAACACAAGAGTTAAATAAGAGTGCCCTTTGGATTCCTGACACAAATGACTAAATTCTGTCATAAAAATGAAGACATTACCACTTCTAGAATGTTCAACGGCTCAGCCACAGCCAGATGTACAATGCCACAGAGAGAAATCCACTCTTGTCCACAAGACAACGTCCTGTGACTCTGCCTGCAACAGGAAAGTGAAATTCTAGAAACTATAGCTGGGTGATGAGATGATGCCCAAATCCTGAGACCTCTTCAAGCCAATGAAAGGACCAATTGAGTGAATGGGTTCCCACAGGAGACAGATAGAATCGGACAGAAGTCAGAAAGAAGACAACCCGCCCGGGGCCAGGGGATGCCATGGTAGTTTTAAGGCAGAAGAGAAGGGGCAGACCTTACTCCATCCACCTTAGTTTTCTTGGTTGCACTGATACTTTACTATTGTCCCTCTCACTAGAAGTTTTCAGAAGGCTGTCTGTACCCCAGCACCTAGAACCGTGCTCAGTGAATGCAACAGAGAAATGTGGGTGATTCGGAACTATTAGGAGTAGAAAAGGTACTTGGAAGAAGCTGTCCCCATGGCAAAGTTAGGCCAAATGGGATGCAACAAATACTGGGTAGCTAGAGATCAACTGAAAGAGAAACAAACATTGACGATGAGGACCAGTGAGGCAGCGGTCCCTGGCAGGCAGAGAGCTGACAGCCCTGTGACGTCGTGCACGGGACTGTCTCCACTTTCAGACTCTCTCAGAATGTTCGGGGAGAACAGTGTCTAAAGTAGGCCACCTCGCAGTACATCAGCGTGTGCAAGAAGAGAGACCACCTGGCAGGCAGCGTTCCTAACAAGCGGAGAAACCCATTTCCTGGGTTCCAAGGTCTAAACGAGGTAATTGATGAGTCTGCAAGATGTAGGTTAATATGAAGGGGGAAAAAATCCACTTAGGACATTCTGAAAGAAGAGAACGGAATTTTCCAAAAGCCAGAGGAGAGTTTTTGATGAACACACAGAGTGGGAAACATCTTAGTGAAGGAGGATCGGTGATTTCTCTGTCACTCCTGAACGGGGTTCTGAGTTCACCAGGACTGGCCATGGTGATCCGCGCCTGCCTCCTCACAGGGCACCCTGGTTACATTTTAACCTCTAAGGCTCTTGGTAGAGAAAAGAGAGAAGGATTTTTGACTGAAACAATGTTACAAATTATATTAGTTTCAGAAACCAGTAACACGGCATTGATACAATTTAGAAAATATCACTTTGAAACCACTTAATACACTGACATAGTGTCACTATGGTTCACTCTTCAGCATTAAAGGATATTCTAGATATAAGCACTCGTTCTTGAGGAGAGGAGGGATTTTTGGTACTTTAACCATACAAACAGAAGATTCTCACATCTCTTCTTCACAAGTAAGCCTTACAGTCTAGCTTACTTACAGCTACAGTAATAGTACACTACAGTTTAATCAAAATATAAAATGATTAAAATTTGCCAAGAAAACCTTAAAAGTCTAAGTGCACAGTGACCTTGGGCCTGGCCCTTTCCTGCTAGCCCTGGGGACAGAGGGACCTCACTGCCCACCCACTGGCTCAAGGCTCTTGGGTCATACTTAGCTTGCCCCTCTGATTCCAAAGATGTCCCTGTCTGGTCTCGGCTGCCCACTCTGATGGCCAGGGAACATGTCATCTCATGCCTCCAGATGCCCACACACAGACCCACCCAAGGCCACTGCTCAGGCCCCCTGTGCGCTGGGCAGCACTTAGCTGCTTCCTGAACGTAATGCCCTCTTCATGTCCAAGAGAAACAGACATAAAACCTGCCTTCCAGAACGTATCACTGACCCATCCCTGCGTTGTACCCTCTGCTCAAGGCTCACTGCCTCTGAGAAAAGATGGGCTAATGGGAACCTGGGCTCCCTTGTCCCCAGGGACAGTGCCTTCTGAGCATCCTCTGCTCAAGCCCCACTTTCAGGAGAGGCCGCATGTAGCGTATCCTCCCAGCCTCGCTGCTTCAGCACCTAGGCAAAGCCTAGAGTCCCTGGTCTTCCCTCCTCTTCAGGCCCTCGCTCACAGGTTGACATCAAACAGACACTGGAGAAAGAAACACAGATCTGAAGCAAGTGCAGCCAGCACGAGGCCAGAGGACTCCTTTCACTGCCTGAGACAGGCCCGGGCCCTCCGCTGTGGGCATCCCAATGGTAGAGCTTTCATGACCAGCATCCTTCCAGCTGGTGGTCAGGAGGGGTCACCTCTCCCACTTCCTGGGGTCAGCATTACCCTCCGCTGGGGGCAGAGCAGCTCAAGGCACTTGGTTGGGAAGCCTGGTCTCCCTGCTGAGCCGGGTTGTAGAGATCAGGCCCTTGGTCCCAGCTGTGGCCACCCAGAATGGAGGGCCGCCCTGGCTCAGAGGGCGTCGGGAGGCATAGGAGGCTGGGGCTCCGGGGGCTCGTGGCAGTAGTAAGGCTGGAAGAACCTCTCGTGGCTGCATAGCTCCATGGCCCGGTAGGTGTGTGAGAGGAGGTGGGGGAAGCGGGACGTGAAGTAGCGCACAAAGTCGTCAGGGAGGGAGCCCAGAGTCTCGCGCACGTCAGTGGGCAGCTCTCGGTAGTGGTGCTTCTGTAAGGGGGGAGGACAACATAGACCAGACAGGGGCTGAGCAGGAGAAGAGGCAGGCAGGGCTGCCAAAGAGAGCCTTTTCTTATTCAAAGAGGACAGAAGGTTAGGGATTTGGGCTCTCTGTCAAGAAAAGGAAGGAGGCAGGTTTATGCAACTTCACACCCATCCCCATCTCCCTGCCCATGTGGCCTCCTTCAGGAAGGGCCCAGGAAGGGGCCTGGGGAGAGCAGGGAGGTGATGGGAACAAAGCTACTTGAAGCTGGCGAGTTTGCCCCAAGGGTTTGCGGCCTCTTCGGTGTGTGGTTGGTTAGGGGCTGTGTGCAGACTGCTATGTGACATGCCCCTCCAGACAACAGGGACCCCCTGTCCTGAGACACTGAGCCCAGGCCCTGGTGGGAAGTTGCCCTGCAGGGTCCCTAATGCAGGGGTGTCCCTGTAGTGGCTGTCATCAGGCAGGTGGCTGTTAGCTACCAACGAGTCAGAAGAACCGCTTTCTAGCGTTTTCAAGGCTGGGGTCTTTCAGAAGCAGATCACCAAGACTTTCTTCTGAGGTACCTCTGGGTGGGGTCGAACTACTAACCTTTTGGCTAGTACAGTTGCTTAGCCATCTGTACCCCCAGGGCTCCATCAGGAAGGTTAAATGCTGTCAAGTTGTTTCTGACTCATAGTGACCCTGTATAGTTTCTGAGGAGTGGCTGGTGGGTTTGAACTGCCAGCCTTGCTTAAAACACAAGGCCAACCTTTTGGTCCAGCGCACCACACCTGGACACCTTTAGGCAGGTAGGCAGCCTTTCCCCACCACACACAAAAATACACGAAACATAAAAAAAAAACAAAAAAAAAAAACCCACTTCTGTCGAGTCAATTTCGACTCATCGAGACATATAGGGTAGAGTAGTTCTGCTTTTAGGGTTTCCAAGGCTGTAAATCCTCATGGAAGCAGCCTTATCTCATCTTTCTCCTGAGTGACTGCTGAGTTTGAACCACCGACCTTTCGGTTAGTAGCCCAATGCTTAACCCACTGTACCACCAGTCGAGACACCATAAAAGTCAGCAGAGCGTGACCATGAAGGAAGGCCATGGAATCAGAGAGGCTGCTCTCAAAGCTCAGTCCCTTGCCTGGGTCCTTAGAAAACCCTGTCAAGGGAAGACACAGGCTCTCATGGGGCAAGTTGGACTAAGGCCTTCCCAGCCTTGGAGACCTCAGAATTCAGGGTGGCCAGAAGAGCAGGGTCTGCCTGCTCCTACCCAGGGTCCCCAGCCCCCGGTATCCACAGGCCTTTACCTTATTTCTTAGGGCTCGGAGGAGATCCCTGACAGAGCCACCCTTATAGGTCCTGAATTTACGAAGATCTAGGGAAAACAAGAAAAACACGACCAGGTTAAGCAAACTACAGATAACTAAATAAATATTTTAAAAGACCACAGATCCTGTAGCTGCTGGGAGGTAAGCAATCACACTGAAAAGGCAACCTAACTCCACACAGGAAAGGACACCCGAGCCAGACCTGGGGGTGTGATCTGAATCCCACCCTCCTGGGTACACCCAAGGTCAGAAATCACCACCTAGTTTCCCAAACCCAGCATGACACCTATCAGTAAACCTGCCACCCTAAGAGACAAAAAGGAGACACACAAGTGTACTGGGTGGTCTGTATCTATACCACCAGGCACTCGCTCCCAGAGACGTGTCCCCCTGTGGGAACGGCTGCTGCTGGAGAGACATCTGGGATGTCAGGGGTCACCTGTCTGGAGAGGGACGGTGATGTTCTCCCGCCAGTCCATCTTCACCACAGCTTTCCCGCCTCTCTCTAACTGCTTCACGATCGGGCCGTCCAGAGATTCCTTCTCGATCCGGTCACTCACGTCCTGTAAGGGAGACAAGAGTGGGTTCTGGTGTTGCCGAGAGCTGGAGGATGGACCAACAGAATGGCCACTGCTGCACGAGGCACCCTGAGGCCTCAGAGCTGGGCAGCATGTGCTCTGGGTCCCACCCCCAAATCCAGCTGCTTCTCTCCCTGTGCTCACTAGGGCAGCCTGCATAGGACCCGACAGTAATAGAGCGTCCACTGGACACTGGTACATGGGCCATGCAAGCATCCCCTGTACTTCACACATGCACACATAGGACCCGACAGTAATAGAGCGGCCACTACATACACTGGTACACAGACCCCGCAAGCATCACCTGTAGTTCACACATGCACACACCACACATGCTGCACAGAGCTTTGCGTATCCTCGGATCTAGATAGGAAAAAAAGCTCGCCACTGGTTTACGTCCTGAGCTCAAACTCCTAACTGGGGGAAAGCTGGCCCTCTCTTATTCAAACTTTAGAAATGACAGGTGAATCCACATTTCACTGGCGCGGCCTCCAGAGACATTGGTCTCACTAGCCCCCTTAGTCAGGTGGGCCAATAGTGGAGGGAACAGTGAGTGAAGGCTCCACACAGGGGAAAGTGCAGCAGTCTGATCTGACCCGCCGTCTTTCCTTTCTTTGATAAACTCAGGCTGGCTGAACCTCTACCTCACAACTGGCCTGGGAGTGACCACAGATGGTCGACTCGGGTACAGTGGGACATATGATTCTCAGTCATTCATTAGGGCTAGTTGATGGGGACGGAGACCCGGTGTGTTCATAGACACAGGAATGGGTGGTGGTGGTGGTGATTCTGTGCCGTGAAGTCGGTTCCGACTCATAGCCACCCTGCCTAGGGTTTCCCAGGCTGTAAACCTTTACAAGAGCAGAAAGCCTCGTCTTTCTCCTGTGAAATGGCTGGTAGTTTTGAACTGCTGACTTTGAGGTTAGCAGCCCAACTCAGAACCACTAAGCTACCAGAGCTCCTACAGATCTGAGAGAGCCTATGAATTTAAATCTTTGCTGAAGCTGCAGTGAAAAGCCTTTGATGGGAGGTTGATGCCTGCTCTGTATCTGGTCATCAATGCTGTTTTTGGAAGTCTCTGAGAGACATTGAGTCTCCAGAATTTTAATGTTATCTTATCTCTTGTAGAACACAATGATCAATACTGATATGCCTACCAACTGGCTGCCCTGGAAAACTGCCTTAAATCCTCCCCCTCAGCCCAACCCATCCAGAGAGTTACTAAGCTTCTGCCATGTACCAGGCAGAGTTCTTGGAAGTGGGCCACAACCGTGAGCTACACAGACACTCCTGCCTTTGAGGGACTCACACAATGGGGCTGCTCTGCGGCCAGGTGTCCAGTCAGATGGCAGCAAAGAAAGCGGAGGGTCATGTCTAAATCATGGTGCTCACCAAGCTCTGCTCAGGGCCCCACAGGCCTGCTTTCCCAGTTCAAGAAACACATTCTCTTTCCACAAAGCCACAAAGCCCTAAACCAGCCACGCCTCCCCTAAAGGCCATACCCAGGGACAATATCATTGAACTTAGAGGAATTGATCTTAAGCAAAAATAGATCTGAGCAGAAACAAGGTAAAAGACCACTTTAAAAATCCAACGTAAGGAAATGTGTAAATTATGATTGTTGAAGCTATGTGATGTACAGGGTTGTATTCTTTCGCCATACTTATTCAACCTGTATGCTGAGCAAATAATACAAGAAGCTGGGTTCTATGAAGAAAAACGTGGCATCAGGATTGGAGGAAGACTCATTAACAACCTGCGATATGCAGATGATACAACCTTGATAGCTGAAAGTGAAGAGGACTTGAAACATTTACTTATGAAGATCAAAGAGCACAGCCTTCGATATGGATTACATCTCAATGTCAAGAAAACAAAAATCCTCACCACTGGACCAATAAACAACATTCTTATCAATGGAGAAAAGATTGAAGTTATCAAGGACTTCATTCTTCTTGGATCAACTATCAACACTCGTGTAAGCAGCAGTCAAGAGATCAGACGACGTATTGCACTGGGCAAATCTGCTGCACAGGAACTTTTTAAAGTATTGAAGAACAGAGATGTCAGCTTGAAGACTAAGGTGAGCCTGACCCAGGCCATTGTGTTTTCAAAAGTCTCATATGGATGTGAAAGCTGGACAGTGAATAAGGAGGATCGTAGAAGAATTGATGCCTTTGAGTTGTGGTGTTGGAGGAGAATACTGAAAGTGCCATGGACTGCCAAAAGAACCAATAGATCTGTTTTGGAAGAAGTGCAGCCAGAGTGTTCCTTGGAGGCCAAGATGGCTAAGCTTCGTCTCTCATACTTTGGATATATTGTCCGGAGAGAACAGTCACTGGAGAAGGATGTCATGCTGGGTAAGGTGGAGGGTCAGAGAAAAGAGGAAGACCCCTAATGAGATGGATTGGCCAGGTGGCATCATTGATGGACTCAATCAAGTGTGGCAGCGGTAGTGTGGTTGGCCCAGGATTGGACATTGTTTTGTTCTCCTGTGCATGGGGTCGCTATGAGTTAGTTCTGACTTGATGGCACCTGACAACAACAACAACATGTGACGTATAGGGCTTGCTTCAAAACAATCCAGGGTGGGAATTGATGGAGATGAGTTAATAACAATTGGATCTGGGTGGTGGATATATGGGAATTCATGCATAGAATTCTCTCTACTTTTATAAGGAGGCCTGATGACACAATGGTTAAGCAATCAGCTGCTAACTGAAAGGTTGGAGGTTTGAACCCACCACCCAGTGGCTCTGCAGAAGACAGAGCCGGTGATCTGCTGCCAAAAAAATTACAGCCAAGAAAACTCTATAGGGCAAGTCTCAGGAGTCACCATGGTCAACTGGCATAGCATAGTCCCCAGAGACAATATTCTACAGCCTACTTCGGTAAGTAGCAACTGGAATTTTTTAAAAGTTCATGAGCAGCCATTTGAGGTGCAACAATTGGTCTCTCCATCTGCGGAGGAAAGAAAAGTAATGAAAAAACTGAAGACTCTTGGAATCAATTAGTCCAGTGGACCAATGGAACATGTGAACATCAGTCTGCACAACTGTGAGGCTAGAAGAATTAGACAGTGCTCAGATATTACTACCAACTACTCTGAAAAGGAACGTATCAGAAGGTCCTTGATAGAGTGGCAGAAAACGATTCTGGGTGAAGTTATGTGATGTATGGGGCAAAATTATAAAAAGACTTACTGGTCGGAAGGAGACTGGAGGAACCTGAGACTGTGGCTGTTGGCCACATCTCAATTCTGGAACGGAGCACACAGCCGTGGCCCAATTTCCAGCCAAGCAGTAGACGGGTATGTAGGTGGAGCAACACTGGTAAGGCATGTTCACCAGAGAATGGTCAATCATGAAGAACAAAAGGCGAAGTCCAGAAATGTTGGGAAGGAGGGTGGAATGTTAAGAACCACAGGGAGGAAGTGGGAAAACTGTTGTTCCATGGAGGGGATTGCAATCATTAAAATGAAACAAGGTATATTATTTGTTGGATGTAAAGTTGATGATCTGCTCTGTAAACCTTCACCCAATTCACAATAAAAAGGACCCCCCCGCCCCAAAAAAAGAAGAAACAACAACAACAACAAAAAACCCCAAAACCCCCTATGGAGCAGTTTTGCTCTGCGTGTGTCAGAATCAGCTGGATGGTAAACTCGACTTTTGTATGTATATTTGAAAATTCTCATATGAAGGTTAAAAATCATGGCATTCATATGATAGAATATTCTAATTTTGATCATAGCAATAGATGGTTCTGGGTTAAACTTTTAGAATTTTTCAGCATGGAAAAATACTCAAAATATGTAGCAAAACAAACAAACAAAAACTATTCAAAATGATGTATCCAGTTTGATCCTAGTTACATTTTTTTATATGTTGTTTATGTTAAGTCAGTTCTGACACATAGTGACCCTGTATAAGGCTACCAAGGAGTGGCTGGTGGGTTTGAACCACCAACCTTGTGGTTTGCAGTTCAGTGCTTATCCTACAGTGTCATACCACCAGGACTCCATTTTTCATGTATGTGAAGAATATGAAATGTCAACTATGGTTATCTCTCAGTTACGGGATTTGATGATGTGGGTTTTATTCTTTGTCCTTTCCTGCATTTTTTACATTTACAAACAGTGGAGTGATGGCTATTGGTGAAGAAAGCCGCCAGCTTTACCTGGAAGAATTGGAGCTGCTTTTCCAGACCCCAGAAGAAGGGGTGTTTGAGCACATGCTTCGCTGACGGGCGTTTCTGAGGGTCCATCGCAATCATTTTCTCTATTAACTCACGTGCAACAACGTCTTCTATAAAGGAGGAAGACACATAGGAAGTTCATTATTACCACCCAAATGTTATAACGAAACACCAAAACCCTCAAACATCTGCATGTATGGCCTTCCATTCAGCACCTCTGCTGACAGGCAATCACTGACGCTCACAACACTGCAGGCAGAAGGGACGGTCGTCAGGGCACTGTGTGTGAAAAGGACTTGGGGGGTCTGATACTGGAGGCTCGGGTCAGCATACTGCCCTGCTCGCTCCGCTGCTTGCACTAACAGCCACTAAGATGATGCAACACTGGGAAGGTCAACGGACGTAAAGACAACCAGTATGCACTATTTAACTCAGGTTTTTATAAAAATATACTTATGTCCCAACACATGCTCAGAGTACTGTATAGAAAAGTATTAACAGGCCCCACTACGTAATGGTAGCGTAGTGGTTCTGAATCAGACTGCTAATCTCAAGGTCGGCAGTTCGAAACTACCAGCTGTTCTGAGGGAGAAAGATGAGGCTTTCTGCTCCCATAAAGATATGCAGCCTCAGAAACCCCGTGCAGGGTCAGTATGAGTCGGAACCGACTCCACAGCACTTAACAACACCACCACCACAACGGTCACCACTCATCTGTCAGTTTGTCCTACTGTGGTGGCCTGCATGTTGCTGTGATTCTGGAAGCTATGCCATGGCTATTTTAAAGACCACAGGGTCACCCATGGTTTCAGGGGAGAGTCGAGACTAAAACAGATTAAGAAGGAGAGGTGGGACGACTTCAAAAGTTTAGCCAATGAAAACCTCATGACTAGCAGCAAAACACTGTCAGATAGTGCCAGAGATGAGCCTCTCAGGTTGGAAAGCATTCAAAATATAACTGGGGAAGAGCTGTCTCCTAAAATAGAGGTGACAGTGACAACATGGATGAGTAAAGCTTTCAGGACCTTCATTTGCTGATGGAGCACAAATCAGAATAAGGAGAAACAGCTGTAAATATCCATTAATAATTGGAACATGGACTTTACAAAGTAAGGATCTAGGAAAATTAAAGTTAAAAACCAGATGGAACATATAAAGATCGATATCCTAGGCGTTGTTAAGTTGAAATAGACTGGTATTGGCAATTTTGAATCCGACAATCATATGGTTTAAAATGCTGGAAACAACAAATCCCAGAGAAATGGCGTAACATTCACCATCAAAAGAGTATTTCAAGATTTATCTGGAAGTCCAATGTTGTCTCTGTGATAAGATGATATCCATACGACTACAAGGAAAACTCCTGGTGTAGCGCTGTAGGAAAAACACTGGAAAGTGAACCAAAAAGTTGGCAGTTCAAACCCACAAGCTGCTCCCTGGAAACCCTGTACAGGGTCTGAGATGGAATTGACTTGATGACACTTAACAACAATATGAACCAGGAAGCCCACTGAGTAACAAACACTATTATTCAAGTTTACACACCAACCACTTACGTCAGTAATGATGAATTGAAGAATTCTACCAACTTCTTCCGTCTGAAACTGATCAAACATGCACTGATAATTGCTGGTGATTGGAATGCAAAAGTTGGAAACAAAGAAGGATCGGTAGTTGGAAAATATGGGCTTGGTGCCAGTAATGATCTGGAGACGACATGATAGAATTTGCAAAGTGGTGGTGGTGGTTGTGTGCTACTGAGTCGGTTCCGACTCATAGTGACCCTGTATAGGGTTTCTGAGACTGTAACTATTTATGGAAGCAGAAAGCTTGGTGGTCAACAGGCCAGCTGGTAATCCACTATGCCACCAGGGAGAATTTTGCAAGACCAGTGACTTATTCATTGCAAATACCTTTTTTTAAGCAACATAAAGGACACATGGACCTCACCAGATGGAGCACAAAAAAATCAAATTGACTACATCTGTGGAAAAAGATGGTAGAATAAAAGCTCAATATCACCAGCCAAAACAAGGCCAGGAGCAGACTGTGGAATAGACCATCAATTGCTCATGTACAAGTTTAGGCTGGACCTGAAGAAAATTAAAACAAGTCCAAGAGAGCCAAAATATGACTTTGAACATATCCCACCTGAATTCAGAGATCATCTCAAGAACAGATTTGATGCATCAGACACTAAAGACCAAAGACCAAAAGAGTTGTGAGATGGATGACATTAAGAACATCATACAGGAAGAAAACAAAAGGTCAGTAAGAAGACAAGAAAGAAAGGACCAAAATGGATGTCAGAGAGACTCTGAAACTTGCTCGTTAGTACAGAGAGGCTAAAGTGAATGGAAGAAGTGAGGAGGTACAAGAGCAGAATAGAAAATTTCTAAGGGCAACAAGAGAAGGCAAAGTCAAGTATTATAATGAAATGTGCAAAGATCTGGAGTTAGAAAACCAAAAGAGAAGAAAATGCTCAGCATTTCTCAAACTGAAAGAACTTAAGAAAAATTCAAGCCTTCACTTGAAAGTAAAGGGATTTCATGGGCAAAATACGGAATGACACAGGAAGCATTAAAAGAAGATGGAAGAAATACAGTCACTGTACCAAAAAGAAATGGTCGGTGTGGAACCATATCAAGATGTAGCATATGATCAAGAGCCAAAGATACTGAAGGAAGAAGTCCAAGGTGCACTGAAGGCATTGGCAAAGAACACTGTTCCAGGAATTGATGGACTACAAATTGAAATCTTTCAGTAAACTGATGAGACATTGGAGGCACTCACTCGTCTATGCCAAGAAATCTGGAAGACAGCTACCTGGCCAACTGATTGAAAGAGATCCATATGTGTACCCATTCCAAAGACAGATGTGGAAATCATTGGACAATATCATTGATCTCACATGCCAGTAAATTTTTGCTAAAGATAATCCAAAAATGACTGAAATAAGACATTGACAGGGAACTTCCAGAGGTCAAGCCAGGTTCCGATGAAGATGTGGAATGAGGGATATCATTGCCGATGCCACAAGGATCATTGGCTGAAAGTAGAGAATACCAGAAAGATGTTTACCTGTGCTTAACTGACTACGCAAAGGCTTTTGATTCTGTGGATCATGACAAGCTATGGATAATACTGTGAAGAATGGATATTCCAGAACACTTAATTGTGCTCTGAGGAACCTGGACATAGACCAAGAGGCAGTCGTTAGAACAGAACAAGGGAACACTGACTGTTTTAAAATTAGGAAAGGTGTGTGCCAGGATTGAATTCTTTCACTATAGTTACTCCATCTGTATACTGAGGAAATAACCGAGACGCTGAATTCTATAAAGAAGAACGTGTTAGCAGGATTGGAGGAAGACTCATTAACAATCTGCAATATGCAGATCACACTACTTTGCTTGCTAAAAGTGAAGAGGACTTAAAACACTTACTGATTAAGATCAAAGACCACAACCCTCAGTATGGGTTACACCTCAATGCAAAGAAAACTCAAGTCCTCACAACTGGATTAATAAATAATATTATGATAAATGGAGAAAAGATGGAAGTTGTCAAAGACTTCATTTGGCTTGAATCCACAATCAACACTCATGGAAGCAGCAGTCAAGAAATCAAATGAAACTGTATAATCAATCTGCTGCACAAGACCTCTTTAAAGTGATCAAGAGTAAAGATGTCAGTTTGAGGACTAGGGTGAGCCTGACCCGAGCCATGGTATTTTCAATACCCTCATATGCATGTGAAAGTTGGACAATGGCTAAGGAAGATCATAGAATATTTGATGCATTTGAGTTATGGTGTTGGAGAGAATATTAAAAGTACTATGGACTACCTGGAGTATAAACAAACTATATGGAAGAAGTACAGCCAGAATGCTCCTAAGAAGCCAGGATGGTGAGACTTTGTCTCTCATATTTTGGACACGTAATCAGGAGAGACCAGTCGCTGGAGAAGCACAGCAAGTTTGATAAGGTGGAGGATCAGAAACAAAGAAGACCCCTAATGGGATGGGTTGGCTCAGGGGCTGCAGCAATGGACTCAAATATAACAACTGTGAGGAAGGTGCAGGACTGGACAGTGTTTCGCTGTGTTGTGCCTACAATCAGAATCAACTTGAGGGCACCTAACGACACCACCACCACTACATAATGGAATTACGGGCCCTTAACATAATCTGTTTTTCTAAAAGGAATTAAGGAAAAAACTGATGAGCAAAGTGACGTTTTAATTTTTTTCAAAAGGTGGTATTGGGGTGTCATAGGTCAGTTATAAGGCAGGAAATCACAAGTTGGGAAGCCATGTTGGCTGCAGCCCCCTACCCCCCCCCCCCCATGGAGAGCGAGGCCAAAGCTCCTCTGTGTCCCAGCCCAGTACAGCCTGCCTCCACTGTCCCTCACACAAGACATGGACAACTTGGCTTCCCAATCCTACAGAGGCCACAGGCCCTGATGCCCCTAGCCCTGCTCACTCACCGTGCTTCTCCGGGTGTAAGTAGTCGAGACTGTAGGCACCTAGAAGGATGTTGGCTTGCCGCTGCAGGGACTTGCCAAAAGGGTGGCTGCCTTCAGAGATGACGTAGTAGAAGACACAGCCAGCAGAGAAGATGTCCACTGTGTAGGTCTGCAAAGAAACGTGAGTGAGCAGCCCTCCAGAGCGGAGGAGTGCTGGCTACTTCTCCTTGGTGAGAATCAGCAAACTTCTGTGGAGAGTTCAAGGCAGTACTGGGTACCCCGTAGTGCCACATGAAGGTGAGTGGTCTTTGGAAGGTGCAGACATGCCCCGCTCGGCCTCAGCTTCCTCACATGAACACTGAGGGTTACGGTGCTGTACCCTCATGGGGTTGTGAAGACTGACTGAATGTCTGAAAACGCTGGGTTAAGACCGGGCTCAGCCCTCAAACTGTGCCTGCCAACTGCCAGCTTCTTACAGAGACCAAGTTAGTCTAGTTTAGAAGCCCTGCTTCTCTGTTTATCCCCAGCCTAGCCCCCAAAGGGTCGGCACACAGTCAGCATCCAAACCTGGTTGTGGTTGTGTGTTGGTGTTAAGTGACATCAGATAAAGCATAAAATCACAGAAAGCAACTATCTGACAAGTTTCCAATGGGCTCATTTTGGAAGGGAGCTGATACCATTCCAAGTCCATGAAGGAGCCCCCTCTCAGGAATGTGTGCCCGTGTGACTTCTAACTTGTTCACAGCCAATACAAGGAAGAGGGTGTGTGTGTGACCTGGGGCTCCAAGGAGCACTCTGGCTGCATTTCTTCCAAAACAGATCTATTGGTTCTTTTGGCAGCCTATAGCACTTTCAATATTCTCTTCCAACATCATAAGTCAAAAGCATCAATTCTTCTATGGTCTTCCTTATTCACTGTCCAGCTTTCACATGCATGTGAGGTTACTGAAAACACCATGGCTTGGGTCAGGCGCACCTTAGTCCTCAAGCTGACATCTTTGCTCTTCAACACTTTAAAAAGGTCTTGTATAGCAGATTTACCTAATGCAATACGTCGTTTGATTTCTTGACTGCTGCTTCCGTGAGTGGGAATGGTTGATCCAAGAAGAACGAAGTCCTTGGTATAGAGTGTACAATGTTCTTATTCTTAGGAGACAAACTGGAGGCTCTATAGGTGACTGGCAGATAAACTGGCACTGACTCTAACGGTTCCACATCAGAGAAATATAGAGAGGCAACAGGCCTAACAAACCATACCCAATGTTGGATCCAGGTGGAAGCATATGACAGAGCTTCTAAGAGTTCATGGAAAAATTCATTCTCTTCATTCTATTTTTGCATGAACGTTTAGAAGCCCTCTTGTACGTGTATTCATGGTAAGAGTCTTTCAATTTTCTGTACATCTAAAACTTCTCAAAATAAAGAGTTGGGGAAACTAAACCAAATTAAAAAAAAAAAAAAAGAATATTTAAGTCCTGATTTTCCTATTTCCCAAAATAGGAGGGGGCGGGGGGGAGGAAGACACAGTGATTGGAAGAGGAGAGGAAAAAAAAAAACAAACCCCCACACATTGTGCCCTTCGGTTCCTGAGGCAATATGAAAACACCAGGCAAATGCGGAAGCTCATCCTCCAGCTACGTGTGCCCAAGCCCCCGGTGTTGCACTTGAAGGCTCTCACTCCTGAGTCTGCGGTTCCCAGAGCATCATGCTGATTACTCACAGGGTTCTCCTTGCAGTCTTCACTCAGCATTTCGGGGGCGATCCAGCCTTCTGTGCCCGGCACCCCAGATCGGCGGCTGAAACTGTGCCTGCCAACTGCCAGCTTCTTACAGAGACCAAAGTCAGAGATCATGGCCTTGATCCTGCCATGGGCGTTGGGCATGGAAAGGAGAATGTTGTGGGGTTTCAGGTCTCTGTGAACTAACACAAAACTGAAGATTAGGCCAGAGTTGACAACGAGCCTCCCTGACAGCAAGGCGTGCATCACTGTTAGGGTCCACATACACGGCTGCTGCCTCTAGACGTCCTGCTCTTCAACTATGCACGAGTCCTCTTCAAGTCTGTCTACAACTTGTCACAAATATGACCTACCCCTACCCTCTGCTCTCCCACTCACAGCAGTGAGGCAGCAGAGTTTAAATACCCGAGCCAGACCCGCACCCCTGCCTGGGCCTGCAAGCTGGCAGATGGACACCACTCACCGATGTTGAGGGAGTGGAGGTGAGCCAGGCCTGACGTGGTCTGCTGCAGCAGGGCGATGGGCTCCAGGCCAAGGTGGGTGAAGTCCTTCTGTTCCACATACTGCAAGAGACAGAACGACACGGTCACAGCTTGTGGCCCAGGGAGCTGCTCCTTCAGCTGATTTTCTCTTATCCTATTTTAGGGAAGTTTTCCTGACAACAATCTCCACCCGTCCAAAACGATTTCCAGCCAAGCGTCTCCTGAAGTCAGAGCTGACCACAACACAAAGCTCCACTTTAATGATTTACATGAGAAAGAGGGCAAACAGGTCAGCTCCTGCCTCATGTGAGCAGTGATATTCAGAAAGCTTTATGGTGCATGTGAAACAGAAACAGAGTGGAAGGAGTGGGCAGCATGCTCCAAGCCCACACCAGCCAGGCCCAGGGATCCAGCCATGCTTCCTGGAGAGACACCAACCACAACCAGAGACTGCGCTGGGCTGTGGGCGACACTGCAGAAAGATTGGTGACACTTCAGGGGGGAACTTTTTGGAGTGATAAAAATGTTCTGCGTTTTTCCTGTGCTATGGCTAAAACCATACATCACCTTATTCATCAAAAATCAGTGCCTTCCAAATCAAGAAAAGTTAGCCCATCAGGGAAAACCCCCTTCTAGGACTGAAATTCAAAGGCAATCTATGAGAAGTATAACATGCTCACTGGTGACCACCTGGGTCTACTTGTGAGTGGACGTGGGGGAAATGCAGCAATGAAGACATAGGCACAGTTTAGCCATGTTCCATTGATACCCGTTGACCTTGAGATGAAAGAGAGAAGACAAAGGGCTGGCTGGTCTGAAGTTTAGGTAGATAACAGAACTCCTGAGCCCCTGGGCACTGACCTAACCCCTGGGGGCTAGGGCTGAGAGTAAAGCAGCCAGCTGCTCTGAAGTGCACGGAGGTGTGCATGAACTCCCAAATTTGCAGCGAGTGCCCATGTGACCTAGCTTATATAGCTAGTTGACTAGAACTCGAACAAAGGAAGATAAAGATGTTTGATACTAAGAATAAGTGCAAATTGTTACAATTTGATGAATTAGACGTTTGCTTATGAATGCAGTGACTCAAAATTCCAACAAGAATGGAAGGATTCTTCACATCAAGGAACAACCTTGTTTCCTCAGCGTATACTGGGTTGATAGGGACGAGACACAAGACATTTAGACATTGGCTATCACAAATGGGGGGGGATGGGCTACAAGGCATGAAGTGGCTGGCTTACAAACTTTCATGAGTATGCTTAGTTGCAGAATGAGAGGGCAAAAAGAGACATAGAGAGCAGAAGGGATAAGAAAACAATATTCTTCAACATGCTGTCTATAAGAGACATATCAAAAAGATGGAGACAAATGTTGTATGAGACTCTGTCATGAAAAGCTAAAAAAAAAAAAAAGGTTTTCTTGGTGAAAGAAACCATCTATGATGGGGAGGAAAAGTTATTCACAGGCTAGAGGGTAGACACATGGTAATATGGTGACAGGACAGGCAGTATGAAACACGAGGGAGGTTAGCAGAGGAAAGATGAAGGCAGCGGGAGACACGGAGGAACACAATAGATAAAGTGAACAGAGGTAAACACTGTTAACTGTTGGTATGTGGTAGAAACCACAAACATGTAATGAAGCAAAGTATATGATTTGTTGAATTTAAAACTGATGATCTACTCTGTAAACCTTTACTCAATTCACAACAAAAAGTTGAAAAAAAAAAGCACCTTTTCTTGTATGTCTGACACACCTCACTAAAGTGAATTGAATGTAATAAAATAAACTTAATACAAGTTAGGTTCGGTGGCAGCAGCAGAGCTGTTGGAGCCCTGGGCACCCACGGATGCCAGGCGCACCTCCTGCAGGGTGGCTGCACACAGCTCAATGGCGATATACTGGAACTGCCGGTCCCTCTCCGTGCAGAAGTAACGGATGACGTTGGGGTGCTCGTCTGATTCTCGAAGCAGCTGAACCTCACGGTCTGCGAAGCTGAAACACTCGGGGAGGATCCTCTTCACAGCCACATCCCGGCTATCGAACATGCCTCTATAGGACAGGAGCGGGATTGTGTCTGGTGCCCACAGGTGGACTTGTGAACATGAGGTGGAGCTATAGGGGCCGCAGGTCCTCCTGTTGCTGGCAGTGACCCATCCCACTAGCTTTGAGCCTAGAGGTCCCCACGGTCATCACTCCTCCCTTCAGGGTGGCCATGAGCTCTGTGGAGGCGGGACCTGGTCACAGCTCAGTCTCATCCTGTCCCTGGAGAAGGTCTGGGGTGCTCTCATCTACTCACCGGTAAACGATGGTGCCCTCAGCTCCGTGGCCCAGGACGTCCTTGGGACAAAATGAGATTTTCCCGACTAATACCACGCTGGCTTCCTCATCTGGGACAAAACGGAAAAATGAAAAGGTAACTTTAAACAAACACATGGTGGTGAAAATGCCTACTGACTTCCTGACCTTAGATTTATAGGAGGTACTTTTGAAGAGACCAGGAAGCAGGTAAGGAGTGTGGTGCTAATTCACATTCCTACCCAGGGCGGCCTCCTCCCCTCCCCTGCATTCCTTGGTCTTTTCATTGCTGTGAGAGGCTGTCTTAGGGCCTTCTTGAGACAGGGGGTCTTATTTCTAGCTATCTAGCAAAGGAGTCCTGGTGGCAGAGTGGCTAAGCACTTGGTTGCTAAGTGAGTTGCTGTGGTTAAAAATGTACATCAGACTCTATGTTGGAGGTTCGAACCCGGCAGCTGCTCCATGGGAGAGAGATGTGGCAATCTGCTTCCAAATATATTTATAGTTTGAAAAGTTCTACTCTGTCTTATACAGTTACTATGAGTTGGGGTTATTTTTGGTATTCATCTACACACACTCCTATGCAATTTATATACAGAACAAATTAATAAGTTATTACCAAAAAAACTATCCATCCCAAAGAAGTGAAGTATTTGCACCCTGAGACATTCAGGTAGAGGAAGTGGACGTGGAAGGGAAGAGGCCAGGAGTAGAATCTCCAGCTCGAGCCCGGGGTGCCCTGCACCAGCTCTGTGCTAACTCCCTCAGAACATGGGGTTCGGCCTCGACAGTTGGCCTGAGCCCGTCTCCCAAAGGGGAAGAACCATCAACAGTTGCACTTCTGTACTTGGCAATTGGCTAGCTTCAGGAACATTCTCAAGTCAGGTGGTCAGCACACCATAGGTCAACCCTTGTTGGGGGTCCAGAGGCTCTCTGAAGGGAGAGCCATGGGAGGAGGCAGAAGAGGGGGTTGCAGAGTGGAGGGGCTTCAGGATGAACACAGGGAAGTCTCGGGAACAGAAGAGGGAACTGCTTTTGGGTTCTCAGGTGGAGTTCTGAGGAAAGATATACAGCAGCCACGGCCACTGGCATTACCCTCGTAGTCCTGGTCCAGGAAGGCACTGGTGCCGGCCCTGGAGGCGGAGCTGCTGGAGTGCAGAGAGTGGTTGGAGGCTCTGGGGGACGTGTTGGGGCTGCTGGTACCCGAGCTTTCCGAGTACGGGCCAGATGTGTCCAGGAGCTCCCCGTCGGCCACTGTGTCCACTGGTGGGTGGAAGGGCAGCTGCTGCTGGATCTTCTCCAGCTCCTTCTGGAACTGCTGCTGCTGGAGCCGCTGCTGCTGGTGCATGCTCTGAAAAGGGGCAGAGATGGAGACCTGGGCAGCCCACACCCTGAGGCCCCAAAGGGCAGGACGAGCCTGGTGAGACGTCTCTGTGAGCGCAGGTCCCTCCTGCAGGTGGTCCTCCCAGGACAGCCCACCCAGACGGATAAGGAGTTCTGTCCCCAGCATTCCTGTCAACTCTAAAATTCTACAACCTCGGTGAAGTTGGGGAGTAGTTGCAAAACAGAAACCCACCAGAGGCTGACAGGTTGGGAGGCTGGTGGGTTCAGGGAAGCCCAGGTTCACTGCCCACTCTGTGCTATGCACTCAGAGAGGTGGGTTCAACTCTCAGACCCTGTAGCCACACAGCCACGATGAGGCAGGCAGGGACCGAGGCCCCCCTCACCACGCTGCCTCCCAGCACCACCACACGGCTCTCATTATTCTGAAGTTTCATTATCTGCAGCGTCAGCTCTGTGGTTATGTCTACCCAGTCCAGGGAATGCCATCTACTGGCTGAATGTTGTTGTTAAATGCTGTCGAGTTGGTTCCAACCCACAACCACCCTGTACAGGGTTTCTGAGGAGCGGCTGGTGAGCTTGAATCACCGACTTTCCAGTTTAAACCATCCTTGCGGTCCAGCGTATTAACCCACAGCTCCACACCAGGAAGTGGTCTAGCTCCCAGAACCTTGTAGATAAATAGTAGCAGCCTCACAGGCCTGTTGTGAGGGGTCATTAAAAGGACGCAGGTGAACACAGTTTGACACTGCAGAAGAGCACTGTCAGGGTGCCAGTCCCACACGGGCCATATGCTCCAGAGGATTCGTGTTCTAAGTTGCTTTGAGCAACTTCTTGAAGGAACATTCCTCTAGAATATTTCACCCAACCCACTCAAGGATGTAAATTTAGCTTATTTCCAATTAGCAGATCACCATGCCACCATTTCTACTCCTGCTGATACTTCCAACAGGCAGTTTCTGAGAGGGAAAAGTTAGGTTTTTATCTACTATCCCTATTCAGAGAGTCTGGGTGTGGCGCTGTAGGATCAGCACTGGACTGCTAACTGCAAGGTTGGCAGTACAAAGCCACCAACTGCTCCTCAGAAACCCTATACAGGGTTGCTATGAGTCAGATCTGACTCAACAGCCCTGAGCGAGAAAATACAGTTACATATTCAAGATGATCTGTAAGCAGGGCTTATAAATTAGCTTTTATAGTCAGGGTTGGAAAAACTTCTAAAACTTAGATACAAAATTGTCCTTTTCTGAGACGCTAGAGTGTCTCTTTACTTACGATGTTTAGGGAGACAGGCAGATAGTGATTTGAAAGGGAATTATTTGCTTGCTGGCTGTCACTGTCTGGGCCTCAGGGACAGCAGGCCCAGCAGCACGTGGGAGGCTGAGCCTTACCATAGGGTAGGTGATGATGAAGGCCAGCCAGCCAATCAGCAAGAAGGTGCTCAGGATGATGGTGGCCATGTCCTTGAGCATAGAATCCACAGGAGCCTCGGGCTTGGCCGGGGCATGTGTAAACGTCTCTTCCACATCCTTAGTCATGGTGGTGGGTGCGTTTTCTGAGGTCTGGTCCACCAGGTTGATGACCTGAAGGGGAGAGAGTTGTCCCATCACTGTGCAACTCCTCACCAGCTATCGAGGAAGTGAGCAGTTGCAAGAAGTAGCTCCTGTTTACAAGGTTGGACTCTGCTGCAATGGGTTGGATTACAGGCCTGTCTCCTCTGAGTCTGTAAGCTAGACACACCAAGGTTGTTTCCACCTCTGGACCTTTACCTGTGCTGTTTGCTTCCCTCCACCACCCTCTACCTCCTTCCACAGCTGAATTCTACTCATCCGTCCAGGCTCTGCTCAGCCTGCCGCCTTCACTCCACTCCTCTTACTTCCAATCTGCCCTTCTCAGTCTCTACAGGTGACTACAGGTCACGTGCACACCCTCCTTAATTAGACTGCATGCTCTGAAGGCGAGGGCCAAAGCTGATGTCCATCCCCCCTCCCTCCAACACCTGGCAGAAAAGCCGCTGACTGGCTGTCTACTGAGCCACTCGCCTCCTCAAAGGTCTTTTTCTCAGACTCCGCAGGAATCACGTTCTCCCGATGCTTGGGCAGGTTGTTGGGAAACCTCTCCAGCATCTTGGTTGATGCAGACAGGGGAGTTTCATGGTGCCCTGAGATAGGAAAGAACACCTTTAATGAGCATGGTTTCCCCAGTGCAGGGTCATCACTCCCCTCTGATGAACAGGTCCATGGTGCAAACCCTCACATTTATGAAGTGAGGGGAAATTAGAGGTAGCTCTCAGAAGAACTACGTGAAGACAGAAATTGTGTTACTCAGTGACATAGCTGCAGTATTAACAGTCTCATACTGAGAAGCAAAAACGTGTCATTGGCCACAAGAGGGACTGGGATGTTTGAGATGTATTCAGACCATGACGCGTCGGGCTAATTCCAGATTCTCAGTTGAAGTTGCGTGATATGCTTAGTGTCCTGTTCACGGCAGAAGCATTTGGAAGCTTCATAGACACTTCATAGGGTGCTCTTCTCAATGCTTACCCCTGGAGCACCTCTCTGTGAAGGCTACTGCATTCCCAGCTTGGGGTTTCCATGTCTCAGGTGGAGTTCTATTTCTTCTATCGTCTCCTCGAGGAAGAGTGTGTATTTGCGACATGGATAGGGGCCAAGGTTCCAGTTGGCTCTCAACTTTCACTCGATGTTTTCTACAAAATCTCTTCACGATAGCCTAGCATTCAGTACACACTTAGGAAGCATCAGTTGTGTGCAAATCACCACAGGAGAGACAACAGTGAGTAAAACTAGGAAGCGGCAGAAATGTGGCTGAGTGGACACTGAAGGGCTCCGTCCTCTGTGATGGCTTGGGACATGTGCCAACCCCAAAACCTCTCACGTGTCTCTGTGTAGTTGGTCACATGTACTGCCTCTGTCCCTAGCACCCCTTCCTCAGGTGTCATGGGAGCATCTTATCACTCCCACTGACAGGGCCACCAACTCAGGCCCCACACCCCCTCGGGGCCAGCAGAGAGGGCAGCAATGAGAGAAAGGAGAAGGCAGAGGGGCCGCCACACCCACCCAGACAGTACTGGCCAGCATCTCCACAGGCCCAGTCTCTAACTCATCACCACCTTCAACCTTTCCCTTGGGTCTTCCAACTTCCTCCTCCCCAACTCCAAGTGAATTCTTCCACAGAAATTCCTGTAACTAACAGGGGCACCTACTTCCCACGAGCTCATTATGAGAAACAAATAAGGAAATGGTATTCCAAAGTGCTCGGCACTGGCAGTAACATGCTTGGTGTGGGTCAGGTTCATGTTACTGAACACAGGTTCACAGTACTGAGTACAAGACTTCGGGTTGATTAATTTCTGAGAACTGACTGGGTAACACAGCTACCCTATTTTTCTTTGTGGTAGTGTTGGGGTGATGGGGACTGGAGTGGGGGTGGGGCAAAATGTCCCAAAGTCTAAACTTCTGAGTTAGAACTGAATTGAGCACAATATATTCAAAGTTGAGCCAACTATAAAAAGAGTTGGGTAGCCTCTGCCCACCAGAAGGCAGTACCTGACCATCTACGGCTCTGAGGAAGCAGCCTCCACCACCCCACCACCGCCACATGTATCAGGGTAACTGTTATTCACAGGATTTTTAATTTCTGATTTTTTCAGCAGTAGGTTGCCAGACCTTTCCTCTGAGGCTCCTCTGGTGGACGAGAGCCTCCTCTCACCTATTAGAAGCCAGTAATTCCTCAGGTAATTCAGCTTGCTCTTCCCTTTCAGTCCAGGGTCAAACTTTAGGTCCGTGCTAGGTGTGATCACACACTCCCCTTTGTCTCCGATGGTGACTCCGTCAGTCTGGGGACCTTCCAGCAGAGGAAGAGTGCTGCCTCGTGGCTGTCAAGACAAAACTGAAGGTGAGTGTGTTCCTGGGCCCCACTGAGGGTCTTTCCAGTGAACTGGCAACGATGTGGCTGAGTGGACACTGGAGAGCTCCATTGGAAGGCCTGCCACAGCTTAGGAGATGCAAGGTCTCCATATGCGGTTGGTCCCAGAGAGAAGGCACCAGGCCCTCAGACGGGTAGGAAAAGTTCCTGCCCTAGGACTCAGCAATGCCACACTGATGCCTCTGTTACCCATGTCTCCATACCAGGGAGCAGGAGGCATGTGCAATCCCAAGAAGCTTTCATGGGAAGCAGGAGTCTGGTGACACAGTGGTCTGAACTCACCAGCTGCTCCCTGAGAGAAAGATGTGGCCGTCCCATAAAGGTTTACCCCCTGGAAAACCCCGTGGGACACATCTATGCTGTTCTGCAGGGTCACTAGGAGTCAGGGTTGACTTGACGGCACTGGATTTGGGTTTCTGTGAAGCAGATAAAAGTCCAAGGCAAATTCCAGAAGCTCAGATGGAAGCAACTAACAAGAATGGAGTAAATTCCGGCACCCCACTAGGGGATGGTGCTACAGCAACAGAAGATGCCGCCCTGTCCACAGGGCAGCCAACCAGGTCACTGGGAAGATGAGAGATGCCAACCAAACAGCTCCAGCACAAAGATGACCAGGATGGTAATGCCTCAGCCATGCAGGCAGGGGGCGCTCAGCAGGCTGGCAAGCTCCCAGGAGCTCTTGGGTAGACCAGAAGGATAAGAAAAGAGCAGGAAGGGTATCTGAAGTAGGAGAAGGGACTGGGACCAAGATTCCACAGAACGAAAAACAAACGTTGAATTTCTGAAGATCTGGGAGAAAATGCACCTGGCTGGAGAGTACAACTCCACAGGGAAACAAGCAGTGTAGCTGACGACACGGAGGGATGGGACTGAAGAGGGCCATGAATTCCAGGCCTGGGGAGCTCAGCTCTGAATGTGGCAGCAAGTGGGAATAGCAGCCAGGACTTCCTGAGCTGCAGGAAGCTTTCATTGCCAAGTATAATATGGTCTGTGATGAAGTTGTTTGGAGGGTTTAAGATCTGTGTTTGGTACTCTCCACCAAGAAGCTATTCACCTACAACTAAAGTCACTAGTTGCTAAAATGGACAAGTAGTTAGGAGGCTGTGCCTATGAGATCCCCACCCCAGGACACTTACCACAACAGCGACCCCCTCATGTACCATGGAAGGGGAGGCGTACAGGCTGGTAGAGTATTTCCCAACATACAAGGTGGGCCTACAAGAAAAACAGACACATGCATTCCAAAACCATTTACTTTTTGGATCCTACAAATTGTGGCTATTTGGAGAGAAGATTAGGCCCGCCCCCACAACCACCCAGAGGAATATCTAAATCACCCTTTGAGCAAGAAGGGAAGCGACAGGGGTGTGAGGGCAGAACTACCACTCACTGCCTACAAAAGCCTGGGCAAGCCACCTAATGCAAGCCTCGGTTTCCCCATCTGCCAACAGCAGGGCCCCTGATGACCTATTGTTGTTGGTAAGTGCTGTCGAGTAGGTTCCAACTCACAGTGGCGCTGTATAGGATTTCCGAGGAGTAGCTGGTAACCTTGCAGTTAGCAGCCAGTGCTGACCCTACAGCACTACACCAGGACTCCCTAATGGTCTTCAGGAAGGACTGAGAGACCGGATGTCCAGAAAACCACTGCCCAAACCTTGAAGGTGACCCTGACCAGTGCACTGTAGTAACCGAGCTATTACTAACATCACCACCATCCCGTCTTGTCATTTTGAAGGGTCCTAGAGGTCCTAAGAGTCCTGGTATGGCGCTGTGGGTTAATGCACCAGACTTCAAAGCCGTTTGAACTGCCAGGTCGGCAGTTCAAGCTCACCAGCTGCTCCTCAGAAACCCCATACAGGGTCACTGTGGGTCAGAACTGACTAGACGGCACTTAACAACAAGAGGTCCTACTGTGGCGTTGCAGGATAAGCACTAGACTATTAACTGCAAGGTCAGAGTTTCAAACTCGCCAGCCGCTCCTTGGAAACCCTATAGTGTCGCTGAGTCAGAACTGACTCAATGGCACTTCAACAACAACACAACAGAAGGTTCTACAGAAACGCTGAGAAGCCATCAACTGCTCTAACATGGACACCCAAGAAATGCCTGAGGGCTGCAAATGAAATCTAAACTGGGCGCGATTTCTGGTCCCCCAACTGGGGGTCTGGATGATGGCATGCTTATATCTAGGGTGTCAGTTTGAAAATGGTGGAAGCTGCACCCCCAGCCAATAGCCACTTTGGGATTGATCCAGACACTGAATCACCTAAATCAGTCTCAATAAATAGCTTGCACTTGTGAAAGGCGTTTTACCATTTCAAGAAGACTTTTGTGTAAGCTGTGTTATTTGACCAGCCCTGGAACTCTATACAGTAGGTAACTGAGGCTCAGCAAAGTTAAGTGATTTAATCACAAGTGAGTCCTGGTGTGGTGCTACAGGATAAGCACTGGACTGCAAACCGCCAGTCGCTCCTCAGAAACCTATATGGGGTTGCTATAGTTCGTCAGAACCAACTCGATGGCACTTAACAACATTTTAGATAGAGAACACGTCTGCTGAGTCTTTAGACATATATAAGTATAAAAATGGATATAACCTATAATAAAAATTTAGGAACTACAAAAAGAAAACAGACTCACTCTCCTATATCCCCACTACCCCACAGTAATACTGGCAGTCTCTTTCCTCTCCCCATCCACAACCTTATCTAATCTCTTAAAAAAACTGCAGTATCAAGGGGTGTGCCCCTTGTTATGTTGGGAGGTTCTAGCCTATGGCATGCCACGTTCAGCAGTCACAGCTACCCCCTTTACCCCAAGTTCCCCGGACTCACGTCAGCTTGCTCTTGGCCTCCGTCTCTTTGGGGAACGGGTACTTCCACTTGGTGATGCGCCCCACCTCCCCAGACATGAAGGTCAGATAGCGCAGGGTCTCCACAGCAACGTTGATGTGCATCACCTTCCTCAGACCCTCCCGCTGCCAGACATAAAAGGACACCACAGGCGAGGCGTAGTTTTGGATCCAGAGGACATCCCCAGATTCACTGTCCACAGTCACCACCAGCCCGTCACCATTGGACACAAAGTGGGACATCTCTGCAGCAGAGCACACAAACGAAACATGTTGGGCCTCACCCATCTCAAAGCCACATCCTCCACTCTCTTGGCAAGTTGCTCAGCGAGAAGCAACAAGACTTCTGGGGTAGTCTCAGAACTCTCTGAATAGGTCCACTTATTTCCAATGAACTCGCTCAGGTTCAGCAGTACCAAGACACTGAGTGTCACCTGGCTCACAAATTAACATAGGATCAATGAAAATTGCTCCCCTTGGCAATTTACTAGGTGATGTTCTTTACTGTTCTTTTCAAGAAGCAAGAGTGAATACAGAGGAGAAAAAGGCCAGTGAAAATGTCTGTTAACCTGGCATTTTATAACAATCATTTCAAAAATCTACTGACCAAGCTGAAAGACTGTCTACATCTGGTTCAGAAAGGGGGTGCTTAAACATAGACAAATGAGAACACCCGCGGTCCTTCACTAGAAACAAGCAGAGATTTCCACCAGACGCTCAGACACCAGTGTCGAGGTGACAAAGTGGCTTTTTAGTTTTTACGTGAGCTGAGGGAAGGTTAACTAGAGATAGGGCAGGAGCTAAGTCACACTTAGAGGGGCCTTCTGGATGGAGTTGCTCACATCATGTGTTAATGTTTTACTCTACTTTCCATGGGCTTGTAGTGAATTCCTTCTTTGACACAGAGGGACTCCTAGGTTGTACCCGCCCTTCCCTCAGCTACCCTCCAAGACTTCTCACCCAGGCCCTTGCCGCATTGACTGCTGGAGTATTTACTATCATCCCAGTGAAAGTCCAGAGTCTGGTGACGGAGAGTGTCTTCAAATATTCTGCTGTTTGGAATGACTGTTTCCTCACTGGTCAAACATACTGGCCCAGACTTCTGAAGCTGACTTGGAAGCACTTACTATAGTCCATGTCGTCCTCGGGCATCGAGGCTGCGTAGTCAAAGTAGGTGGCGTTCCACCGGAGCTCTCGGGTTTTGGTGTCATACATGGTGATGGTGTACTCTGGGGAACACACACCAAACCCATTACCACAGGTGGGCCATGGCACCTACTGAGATGCAGACTTTATCTACAGCATAACCAACAAAGCCTCTCTGAATTGTGCGTAAGAAAGTCCAAGCTGTCCACGTGGAAAGTGAAAGGACGTGGAACAGAACTGAAGTCACAGACGTAGGAGTGAACTCAGCCAAAGGCATGTGGAGTGGAGATGAGCCACCCCTGCGTCCTCCCTGGACTTGTGACTCACAGAAACATAAGCAATGTTTATGGCCGTAGCTTTATGCTACGTATGCTCTGGGGTGGCTTGTTCTACAGAAACAGATAACTGATCGTAGAAATTGGTATTCGGAAGTGCCCTAATGGAAGCTTAAAACACAAGATGCTGATATTGGGTCCAGGTGGAGAAAGGAGACTGGGTGGCGACCACAGCACTGTCGGTGGAGACAGAAAGGAAGGAAACGGCCACTGGAAGCAAAATGAGGGGAGCAGCTCAGGCCACGCGGGCGCAGTGAGGAAGACTGCTGCTTGCAGCAACTCGGCCAAGACACAGAGTAGCTGGTGAACTTGTGGGTCTGGCTAAAGAGATTTCCACACAGATGCACAAAGTGCCAGTAGTTTCTCTTTGCTGTGTGTGAGACAGTAAACAATCCGCAAAAGTCAGAATCTGTATAAGGCAGAAACCTGTCAGAAGGAAAACGCAAGTGTTTTCCTCTAAAAGGGGAGATGGAAAAGGGGTCACAGGCAGAAAACTGATGAGACCCGGGAACCAAGGTAGTTCCACCACTGGACTTCAGAAGGGAAACAAGCTCAAGAAGAAAAAAAAAAAAAAAAAAAAGATACAGGGCCCAAGGAGCCCTGGTGGCACAGAGGGCAAAGTGTCCTCTGCTAGCCAAATCGTCGGTGGTTCAAACCCACCAGGCATTCCTAGGGAGCAAGACGAGGCAGTCTACTTCTGTGAAGATGCTAGCCTTGGAAACCCTATGGGGCCGTGCTGCTCTGTCCTCCAGGGGTGCTGTGAGATCCCCAGCAATGGGATACAGGGTCCAGGACTATCTCTTCATCTGGAAAAAGACCCTCAACATAAAAATCAGGCTTAGGGTGCTACCAGTCAAAAAAGATGGTTCTTTGAAATCTGAGAAATACTTAAAGAACTCCATAAAACCTCTTGCTGGAGTCCTCATGTGACCTGTAGGATAAGCACCAGACTGCTAACCAAGAGGTCAGCAGTTCAAACCCACCAGTAGCTCTTCAGAAACCGTATACTAGGTGACTATGTGTCAGAACCAACTCGACGGCACTGAACAACAACAACATAAAACGTGTCGGCTCGGGAAGAAGGGCTGTAAGAAGCAGAAGAGTATTGTACCACAGCGTTCTCGAGATCCAGAGAGAGGGGGCCCGACTCAGAGATTTGTGGGTATAGCTTTTATCTAGTGGATTGGACTACAGTTTGACACAAGGAACAGGATGAGAAAGCACTAGTCATTTCTAATGGGGAAGTATGGCATTCTCTGAGAGCAGAAGCAAGAACCAACCTCAGAGGGTAAACTGGGCCTTCATCAATGACTGGGAGCGGGAGAACCTGAAAACCCATGCTTAGCTGGAAGGCAGAAAGACTCGGGCCCAGTGACTGCTAGGGACCTCTCTTCTTCCCTTTTTAAATGTGAACTTTTACTGCTGCTGCCCTGCCCTTGTCTCATCAAAGTACACTGGGTTGGGGAATAGACTGGGGATATCCAGATATCTAGATCCACAGGAAACCCCTCCCACCTCCAGACCTGATCTAGATCAAGAGATACTGGATATTGAAACTGATGCTACATATAATTAGACTTTGGGAGTCTTGGGGGTGGGGAGGCTGAGTATATGAGGGGGCTTAAAAAAGTTGGTGGAAAAATTCCATCTTCTTTTCATTCCATTTTCCCTCCAACTTTCTGAAGCAGCTTCATATCAGCAGGTGAGAGGGCTGCGGCAGATTTTCTGAAAAAGGTCACCACTAATTCTTCCCATCAAGAGGCCGAATCTCTCTCCGCCTCCTTGATTCTGGGCTGGCATTGCGACTTGCTTCGACCAACAGATCAAAAGGAAGTAAAGCTCTGGGACTTCTGAGCCAGGAGCTACAAGGCATTTTAGTTTCTACTTTTCCCCAAGAGGAAACCCATCTTGATGTAAATAAATCCACACTATCTGTGTGGAGAAAGGCCACTTGGAGGTGAACCAAAGTCTAAGACCTGAGTGAGCCCAGCCAACACCACATGGAGTTGAGACAGCCATCCCTGCTAAGCCCTTCCTGAATTCTTGTCCCACAGAATCATGAGCAATAAAGTGGGTGTTTAGTCACTAAGTTAGGGTGGTTTGTTATGCAGCAACAGATCCAAAAAACAAGAGTTTTACACACCTATGCACACACATCCCATCTAATGCCAGAGAGTTCATCCAACTCCAGCCAAGTACCACCTCTCCAGCTGAAAAGCTCAGGTTTTATTCCTAGGAGAAGCTGGAACTGCTGTGAGGCTGTACATGATAGAAAAAGTAAGCAAACAAACCCCAAGCCTTCACTGCAGCTGGAATACTTGATTTCCATGGGGTGGAGGTGGGGGAACCAAGGGGTGGGTCCTGCAATCTAAGTATAGACCTTCCTCCTAACTACCAGAGAGCCCAGCCAGCTGCTTGCTACAGAGTCCAAGATTCTTTTCACAGATATTTAAAAAGGCACCTTTTCCCACAACACCTGAAGAGAGCTCTCTCTCTGAGCCTTGGTTACCTGAGTGTTGATCTCTATATTTAGTGCTCAACTGTAATGATTTCTTCCCAGGTTTCTGATGTAATTTCCCGCTTCTAAATGTTTTCTCACTGCCCTTTTAGCTTTGTTTTATCTGTCACTCAACACTTTTTACTGAATCCACTGTCAGATGCTGAGCCCATAAAAATGAAGTGGACAGATTCTTGTGGTAAAGGGCTTACCAGTCACCCAGTCCCATATCTGATCACCTACTGTGTGTCTGGTGGTGTGCATGGTGTGAAGGTGCAGCAGAGGAACCAGACAAATCCCTGCTCTCAGCAAGCTGACAGTCTAGTGGGGAGAGGTAGAAAATAGTTAAATAAATGCATAAGTCTGTGTGACACTGTAGGATAAGCACTAGATTGCTGACGGCAAGGTCAGTTGCTCCTTGGAAACCCTATACAGGGTTGCTAGGAGTCAGAATCGACTTGACGGGCCTTAATAACAACAGGGACACACGTTAAGAGAAGCAGGGCTGAGAAGAGAGGTAGGAAAGAGGAAGCACAGAGGTGTGGAGCGTGCTATTCATCACGCGAGTACAGGGACAGTGACGGGCAGCAAGCTGGCTGCTAACTCAAGACAAACTGCTCTGAGTGTCCCTGGGCAGGACGGGGAGCTGGAAGGCTGGGGTAGGGGCTTCACGGACAAAGGGACTTTTGAGCAGACTTGTGAAAGAAGAGGGCATTGGTTCTGGAGCTGCAGAGAGTGGATCCAGGCTGGACAATGTATACATGAGGGAGATGCAGGGAGAGCCGATCTTACCAAGGTAATGGTTTGGAGAAGATGGCTCTGGCTGCTGAATGAACCTGGAGCTATGACTGCAGATCTCTGTGGGCACAGACAAGTTGTACACAATCAAAGGCTCCTCTCTTACCTGTTCGCCCAAGATACAGAAGAGAAGTGGATGGACAGAGACTTTCTGCATAGGCCGATGACAAAGTCTGCTGTTTCTCTCCAGTCAGGAGGTCAATAACATACCAAATGTCCTGCTTTTTACCTGGAAGGTCAAGGATACATACACTATTGTTTACACCTGTCCTACAAGGGTAAAAATTCACCACCAAACCAGCAGCCCAAGATATTCTCTGGGCCAAGAGAGGCAGGCTTGAAATTCACCTGGTACCCAAGACCTTTCAATGATGTTGTAAAGATGACAATGTCAATGGTAATGTGGAAATAATATTTGCAGGGAACCACTGGGCCTTAAAATAACTTATTAATCAAGGCATTAAAAAGTCCTCCAAACCAAATAATCTTTATCATACACACAAACCAAACCTGTTGCCACCAAATTGATCCTGTTCCTCTAGACCCTATAGGTCTACCCAAGGCTGTAAATTTTTATGGAACCAGATGGTCACATATTTCTCCTCCGACTAAGTGGCTTGTGGATTCGAACTGTTAACCTTCTGATTAGCTGCCAAGTACTTAATCATAGTTTTTTTTTTTTTTTCAAAAGTTCTCCAACCTTCCAAGTGAAATTTTATTGCTTTGATTAGTGGTCTTAAATAAGAAAGTTATTGCCTGTAAAGGACAATTTTTTTCCCATGCATATGGGATCTATATAAATGTGGGAATTCACCCAGCGGCTCATCTCTCTGGTAACCACCATTCATATTTCTCAACATCCCTACTAATTAGCCCACATGTAAAGAGACTCTACAGTGGCTGCTGATGATTATAATTAGCTGATGCCCATGACTGGCCAGTGGAGTTGGCTGCAGCCTGTCACTAATGAGGCCAAAGTCTTCTGAGTTCCTGCCCCCAGCTCGTAGGTTATTCCCCAGCCAGGGCCAGATCCCTCACCGTGGTCAGCTGATAAACAGGTGTGAATAGGTGGAAGCCAAACAATTCCATTAGGAAAACTCAAAGCATATGCATCTATGGGGCATCCACCAAGACATCCTGAGGCCAGGAGCCTGCAGCAGGACCTCCTATCTGGAGATCAGCACATTCACTGACAGGTATTTCTGTTTTGTAGGGTGTGGCTACAGGTCAGCTGTATCTTCTAAACATATTGTCCAAGGTTTCTTTTTTCACTGGACACTTGGAAGCAGAGTAATGAGATGCCAGTAAAGATCACAAGGCATGTGAACTTGCTAAAGGTACACTTGGTTCTCCGGGTGTGGTGCTGTTTGGACCTGCACTGGACTGTGAACCACAGGGACAGCAGTTCAAATCCACCAGCTGCTCCTTGGAAACCCTAAACAGGGTCAATATGAGTCAGAACCAAGTTGACAGCACGTAACAAATGAGGACACTTGGTTCTAAGGAACCCTGGTGGTGCAATGGTAAAGCACTTGTGTTGCTGAGGTATTGGCAGTTGGAACCCACCCAGTGGATCTGCTCCTGTAAACATTACAGCCTAGAAGCCCCTGTAAGGCAGTTTGACATTTTGCATCACCATGAGTTGAAAATCGATTCAAAGAAGGCACCTACAACAACACACTTGGTTCTAACACACATAACATTCATGCTTCTTTTATATGTGTGACACTTGTCCACGGATCCTAAGTTTCTGTTCCCAATGAGAAAATCTTCTACTGAAAAAGATGTGAAAATGGAGTGAAGCGCCACGAAAGAGCAGGGACTGTGACGCCTTTCCATCTGCAGGCTACCATCTGGTCACTCTGAGACAGTGACAGTCTGCAAAATCCAGCTATGACTTTCATGTTGGAACTGGGCACCAGCCACATGAAGTGCAGGTCCAACAGCACCATACCCGGAGAACCAAGTGTAGCTTTAGCAAGTTCACATGCCTTCTGATCTTCACTAGCATCTCATTACTCTGCTTCCAAGTGTCCACTGAAAAAAGAAACCTTGGACAATATGTTTAGAAGATGCAGCTGACCTGCAGCCATACCTCACAAAACAGAAATACCTCTCAGTGAATGTGCTCATCTCCAGATAGGAGGTCTCAGCACCCTGAGAGCCCCAAATGATGACTGGTCCGAAGAAGCTGGATGATTAGGAGGACATGGTGACACAGATGGTCCAACTTTACTGAGTTCTTTCTGGAACTCAGGCCCAGAGGAGAGGGGAAGCCTATGCTGGTCACTTCCTGTCCCCCCCCCCCCCCCCGTGTGCTTAGCAAACACTTAAAATCCTGCTGGCACTTGAGACCCAGAAATATACGTTCAGCTTCTGAGGTATGAATAGGTAATAAGCACTTTCAGTTCCTCAGAAAGCAAGCTGCTGTATAAATATAGGGTATGGTTACCACCAAGATTTCAAGATAGAGACAGCCTTCCTTTGTGTCACAAATGCATTTTTATTGACATTTTGGCAGCAACATGGGCAAAGAAAAGTAGGTGATCTGATGCAGTGAAAGCTGTGACCCCCACTGGTATGAAGGCAGCTTATCTAGGCAAGTTGCTAAGCGCTGTTTTTATCGAAAATTCTGATAGCAGGAAATACGAAGAAAGCTCTATAATTAATAGGCAGAGCCTGGCTTCCCTTCCTTGGCTCAGACGTTTGTATTCATTTTATATTTCACCCGATTGCTGCTGGGTATGTTGCAATCTTTAAATTGCTAGGAGCCTGTTAAATGAGTAACCGTATTCTGGGTGTCAATTCAGCTCCCAAAGGGGGGTGGGGGGTGTTCTTAATGGGTCAGCCAATCCTGGCGAGAACAGGAAAACAGCATCCACAGCACAACCCAGGAAGAAAAGCCGTTTCCCCAGAAGGGTTGGCCTAGGAGAGAACACACCTCTCTCTCAGCCAGGCCTCTTCCCAGACTATGGAGGAGATTCTCAGGGAAGCATCTCCTGTTAGAAGCTGTTAGAAGCGGGAATGCTTACCCATGTAGAGAATTCCATCGGCACTTCGGCATGGGGAGGCCTGCACCAATTCTGGGATGGTAAAGGGAAGTTTCTTTAAAAAAATAAAATAAAACAAAGAAAATATAAGTCAAGGAAGTCTTGTGAACTGAGGACAATTTTACTTTGCAGTCTTCTACCCAGCTTTGCCACAGAGAAGCACTGTAGAGGGCAGATGGGAGCTGTTTGAAGGGATGGCTTTTCAAAGAGAAGAGGGTGCCCCAGAATTCCACACCACGCCTGAGCAGCCCTAGGTTCCCAGGCCCCTGTGCGCTGTAGCCTCCATCGACATTAGAAGCCCTGAAGATCTCCTGCCCACAGAGCTTTTGGGCTGACACACATCTTTTCTGAAGTTACACACCTTTGGAGTGCTACACAATCTCTGGCATTCTTAGTGTGGATGAAAACTGACCCCAAGATAGTTAGCCTGAGTCGAATTGCAGGTGCTTTTTCAGATTGGTTGTAAAGCAATTCTGAGTTTCATTCTGAGGAGACGCAACCCCATGCCCAGCTTAGACTTCGAGGGAAAGGAGACGTCTTGGCAGAGACAATGCAGGAGTTTGAGGTGGAAAAGAAGTTTTACTGTTTCCTTCAAGTCAGTGGTTCTCTATTGAAAAACAAGAAACCCCGAGCGTTTGGGTATTAAGAAGGAAGTTACGGTAAGTGCCAGGAAGAGAAACCCAGAGGAATCTAAATGTTTCAGCTGCATTTCATCATAAAACTGATTCTTCTAACTCGACAGCTGACATCTGACCGGTTCTTTTGGTTAATGCTCGTTTCAGAATAGTTTATTTTGGGAACATTCTGGGTTCTTGAAACTGTTCTATGGTATGTTCTGGGCTCTTGATATCTGGTTCTGCAGAAACTCTGGACTTTTACAACAGTGTCTGTCACCTTGTTCTCCAAGAAAGAAAAATTCCTCTCAAACTTTAATAAACAGAACTTGAGGAGGAAAGTCAATCATTTGGATTTTCCTGTCATCCTAAGCCTTAGGATCGGAAAAATGCCACAGCGAAGCTGTAATGACTGGGTTTTTGCCAGATGTTTCTGAGAATCAGAAAGCAGTTACAAGTCTTTCAGTTTGAAGTCCAACGGTCTTTGCTGAACGCTGTTTAAGAAGTCTCCCAATTCAAGGTCTAAACTGGGATGCCTGCACCTTGTTTCTGGAGATGCTAAACCCCAACGTGAGATGGTGTGCAGGCTCGTGGTAGGAGACAAAACAACAAACCAAACCAGTTGCTAGTGGGTCGATTCTGACTCACGGCAACCACACGTGTGCAAAACTCCGAGGGTTTTCCAGAGCAGAGAGTCAGGCCTTCCTTCTGAGGACCTTCTGGGTGGATGAAGGTTCAACCCTTCAACCTTTCAGTAGCAGCCAAGTGAGCCACCCAGGGACCTTGGGAAGGTAGATGTCTTTAAGTCCCAATTCCTGGGCTCCTAGCTTTGGCCTTGAGTATTCTTCCTGTCTCCAGGCTCAGTTTCCTCGTCTCTAATATGGGGTCACCATGAGTCGAAACTGATTCAACGGCATTTAACAACAACAACATGGAGATGACACATATATTCCAGAGACATGCCAGGACACCAGCCAACACAGCGCCTGGTCAACTCCAAGTGCTGGACAAATGGAGACAATGGTCATGTGAAGGAGCCCTGGTGGAACAGTGGTTAAGCACTCGGCCGCTCACTGCACAGTTCTCAGTTCGAAGCCACCAGTCACTCCTTGGGAGTGTAACGATGACAGCCTTGAAGACTCCGTGGGGCAGTCCTACTCTGTCCTACCCGCTCACTATCAATTGAATTGACTTGATGGCAACAGGTTTGTGGTTTTAAAAATAGAAATGTAGAGAGAAACCATGGAGAGACGGAGAAGTTGATGAAATACACTAGGGGGAAGCTAGCTAGTTTTACAAATGGCTTGCCCTTCTCCTCCCATTTGTTTCAAACAAAGGTATTTTAGAATCCCTTTCAGAGTGGAAAACTTTATACTGAAGCATAATATACAAATAGAAAAGCACGCATAAGTGTACAGCTCAGTTAATTTTCACAGAGTGAACATACCCACGCCACCTGCATCCAAGTGAAGAAATAGCATTTCTAGCCTGAAAGCCCCCTCTTTCCCTCCTCCGGGGTAGTCATTATCCTGACTTCAAAACAGCAGAGACTAGTTTTTCCTGTTTCTGAACTTTATATAAATGAATCATTCAGTGTGTAGCCATTTTTGTCATCTTTGGCTCAACATTATGTTTATGAGATTCACCCATACTACTGTGGAGAGTTGTGGGCTGGTCATTCTCACTGCTGTAAAGAATCCCATTGTGTAGCGAATCCATAATTTATTTACCCATTTCACATCTGGGTTATTACAAATAGTGTTGCAATGTTCTCTAGTGCGTGTTTCTGGGTGAGCATATAACCCCTAGGAAGGAACTGTTGTTAGGTGCCGCTGAGCTGACCTCCCCTAGTGTGATCCCATTACGTACAACAGAATCCAACGGAGCCCAGTCCTGCACCAGCCTCCCAAGTGGTCCTATGATTGGACTCTGCTGCAGCCCCTGTGTCAATCCCTCTCTTTGTGGGTCTCAGAAGGAATTACTGGGTCAAAAAGGCATCAGTAGACACTGCCAAATATCTTCCAAATGGGTTGTACCAAGTTGTACTGCTATCAGCAACCAGAGTTCTGGATACTTCATTCAGAGCCCCACCAACATCCATTTTCTTTCTTCTTCTTCTTTTTTTTTTTTCCATTTTAGCCATTCTGGTGGGAAAGTAGTAGTATGACACTGTGATTTGACTTTGCATTTCCCTAAAGGTGAGTGAAACTTACTGACCATGTAGATATCCTCTTTCGCCATGTTTCTATTGGGCTGCCTCTTTTTATAATGATCTGTAAGAGCTCTTTACATATTCTGAATATGAATTCTAAGCTGGATACGTGCATGTACTGGGAAGAATGTGGCTTGCCTTTTATTCTCTTAGTGGACTCTTTAGTGAAGGAAAGTTGTTACTTTTAATATAATTCAATATACAAATTTGTATCCTGTTTAAGAAATCTCTACCTATTCTGAGGTCATGAAGATGTTCTACTACTTCTTTCTCCTTAAAGCTTTATTGTTTTACATTTCCCATTTACATCTGCAATCTATCTGGAGCTGACTGTTTTAAGTATGGTGTGAGATAGGAGTCAAGAGACGCTTTTCCCATGTGGATATTCCCACTGACTCCGCTATTTCCTGGAACATCACCTTTCCTCTATTGCACTGCAGCGTCACTTCTGTCATAAATAGGTGACCACAGGTGTGGAACTGTTTCTTAAACTCTCTTACCTGGGAAGCTTTTTAAAAATCCTCACAACCCAGATCAATTAAATTGTGGCTTTTGGAGTTGGGACTTAGATTCAGTATTTTTTTAGAATTCCCAGGTTATTACAGTTGAGAAGCACTGGTTGGGATGCTCAGATGGAGGTGGGGGTGGAACAGCACATGCCTTGCTCCCAAGGGGACATATGTGTGAGAAATGGAATTCTTCCATTAACTTTTTCAAGCTCCTCGTATAGCCCGCTATCCTCCGATTTGAGAATGATTAGTCAGTGTGAACCCTCTTCCTGAAGGAAGTGTTAAATTATGTTCCATTGAGAACCCGATAGTCTCCATCAGTGTTTCTGAATTCTGTTTTCACATTTAAGAGCTCCTCTAGAAAGCTTTGAAAATATATTGGTGCCCAGCCCCCACTCCAGACTGCCTCATCAAAATCCCATGAATATTTTGTAAGCTCCCACATGGTCTTAATGTGCAGCAACAGTTGAGGACCACTGATCTAGAACCTCCAAAGCAGAGACAGAAACTAAATACACCTACCGTCAGGCCTTCATTATTCTTGCCCCCGAGCGTATACAAGCTGCCATCATTGGGATCTGGGAGGAATGCAGGCCTGGAGATTAAGCAGTAAGTATGAATGATAAATTAGAGCCCAGGGCACAGTACAAAATGGCAAGGGGGGATGGGAGAGGTTGGTGGGCTCTGTCTAAGACAACAGTCTCTCTCTTCACCTCAGAGAATACCCCCGTGATGGGGTGTACTACACTTGAATGGAAAAAAAAGCACAAAACCATAGAAAAGTCCATCAACAACAGTTAAAGCACTCTGGGTGAAGGGAACATGAGTGACGAAGAACCAGCAAGCCTACTGTGACATCTCCACATCAGCTGTGTCTAGAAAGTCAACATTTAATAGTAGCATATGGCAGAGCAAATCCATCTTTCATTTTCAGTGAACATTTATTTTTAAACTGGAGGCAATCAAAGACAGATTCTGAAAGTCTGACATCAGAGAGACTCTGCCAAGAAGATGGATGGAGGCTTCTCATGAGGAGACTCCCATGAAGCAGATGCCATGTGACTGTACTGAATGAAGGTGATCTGGTAAAGACTGAACTATAACTGGAGTCACTCAGAAAGCCCTTGCTGAGTCTTTTCTCTACTTAGGACACACTTCCAGGTGACCTCCAACTTGTACCCACACATTCTAGTACCAGGTTCTTCCCTAAGGTTTAACGCAGCGAAAAGGGACAGAGCACTGAGACTCAACCCCTTCTGAGGGCTTTGGAAGTTTAAGTTCAAACTTCAACTTACATTTCATCTCAAATACACTTTTTAGTACCATGACCCCCTCCGCCATCCCCAAGGGACTGACCCCCATCTTCCTGCCTGACTTCTACAATAGCACCTATAAGACTTCATGTGTCCTAACTCATTATGTTATACTTATGAAATATATGTACTTTCTGAAACCAGCTTCATAAATATTGACTGAATAAAGAAGAAAATAAATTAAAGGGTGGACTGAAGCAAATCAGAAAACTTACTCTTCAACGTGTGTTGGTACCTGCAGGACTGGATCTGTGCAAAAAAGACAACAAGGACATCATCAGACTCTAAAACAGAATTTCTGGACCACGTCACAAATGGTACTAACAACTCAGAGTGGCCTAGATGGGACAGTGTAGATGAAGGTCCTCTAGAAGACATGCATGCACAAAGACACAAGTGTAGGCTCTTACCACTTACTGAGACCAGACAGAGACCAGATAGCAGAATGGAACTGCTGTCAAGAAACTTGCAGAAACTCGATGAAGAGTCAGTCACAGCCCATGGTGGATAAGGTATGTCGGACCATGGCCCAGAGTATCACCACCTGATACATCTTGGAGTTTTAAAACCCAAATCCTCACCTTGTCAGATACCTGGACTGCTACCAGATCTTCCCATTAAGAAAAGTAAAGCTATGGCTTAAGAATCTTTTTTATTGTTGTTAAGAATTACATTGGGTGGTAAATGTAATTTACCCTTTTGAGTAGCAACATGATGATCTTAAAGCCCTCAAGTGTATACTTCCTGGATTCCCTTTGATGTATTAATTCTATTTGTATAAAATCTAAATTAAAAAATAATTCAAGAGACAGAAAATGATTCTGTACAAAGATATTCACAGTAACATTATAAATGGCCTCTATGGTCATATTCAATAATACAGCTAACGTATGGAATATCCACTTACACAGCTCTAAAACACATACAAATCTTCATGCTATTATATTCAGAAAAAAAACAAGGTACCGATGTAAGTCTGTATTATGTAATATACTAATGTAACTGTACTATGTAATATACTAATGTAAGTCTGTACTATGTAATATACTAATGTCTTACTGCTGCGATGGAAATTTCTTCAGTGTATATTGAAAAAAACAGATGAAAAGAAAATGTTCACTATAAATTGTCTTAGTTGGAAATATAGATATTATTTATACTTTTCTATATTTCTCAAAATTTCTGTAAGAGTGGTGGTGGTGGTTGTGTGCCATGGATTCGGTTCCAACTCACAGTGACCCTGTACAAGGTTTCTGAGGCTATAAATCTTTACCGGAGCAGAAAGCCTCATCTTTCTCCAGTGCAACGCCCGGTAGTTTCAAACTGCTGACTTTGCGGTTTTCAGCCTGATTCATAACCACTATGCTACCAGAGCTCCTTTCTGTAAGAGTAAGTATTACTTTTTAAATTGGAAAAAGCCTTTTCTCAAAGTCCATCAAAGTCCATTTGCAGGAGCCAAAAATGACAGCATCTCTCCTGCGCTAGATTATCCTGGGCACACATCCACAGAAAGCTCCTGATTCCATGTTTGGCACACACATGAACACTGACAGCAGACCATAGAAAATCCACAGGCAAGAGACTGCACCAAACCAAAAGCAAACCCACTGCCACCGAGTTGGTTCCGACTCAGCGCGGCTGTATAGGGTTTCCAAGGAGGCTGTAAATCTTCCCAGGGGCAGAACACCTCATCTTTCTCTCGCAGAGTGGCTGGTGGGTTTGAACTGCCAGACTTGCAGTCCAGTGATTATCCTACAGTACCACCAGGGTTCCTTAAGAGACTGCACAGTTATGAGTATTTCCAGTCACCAAAACCCTGCGGCTACACATCCACGGTGTCTCAAAGCTGGGGGTAAAGGAAGGCAAACACTGTAATAAGACACTCTGTACAGAGTCCCAGAGTCCACAGGCTTGGCTTTTGATGACAGCTACCAGTACTCCTAGCCACCCAGGATCCTCAGATGCAGGAAAGTCTTTCAAGTTTTATCGCATGTTGACTTTAACAGCCCAGCTCCCATGTGACAGCACACAGTGTTCACAACAGCAGAAGTGCACGTACCATATGTAGTCTGTGGGCAGTAAACAAACAATTCACTAAAACCAAAAACATTTTCGGAAGCAGAGGAGGAACTAGCAGTCAGTAAGCATATGTTTTCTCTCCCATTAATCACCTCTCAGTATACTCTAACAAACAGACTGATGCAAGACACAGGAAATAAAGGCACATGACACGTGTCCAACTGAAACAGACGAGGCAAGGGGCAATTACAACCCAGTTACCTCAGTGCAGCCCTGCAGTATGCAAAGCCAGGAAAAAGCAAGATTGCACACTCCAAAGAAAACACAGCAGTAGCAAAGGCATCTTTTTCACTTGTTTCAGCCACAGATAAAGACAGAGGGGGAGGCCACTGGTCAATTCTAGCAGTTCACCAGAAACGAGGCATGGAGACCAGCAGTACTCAGCATCCTGTTCAGAAGCTTATCTTGGAGGTACTGCGTTTGCTCGCTCAAATGGACTAGTCTTCAGACACTGAGGCCTTGAATCCAAAATATGTATCCGAAACCAGAAAGGTCCCAGTTAAATACAGGACATAGCAGCAGACAGGGAAGTTCCTGAAACGATCACCCCTGTGTCCACAAACCATGATTTTCTGGGATTCAGCAGGAGACAAACTCTGTTAATGGGACCTTCTGATCTTAGCATTCCCATCCACTCAGTAAAATAAGACACTGAAATAAACTCCTACAAAGTTGTAGGGTGGGAAAGACACAGCTATTACGGTACAACTCTCAGAGCCTGCTTGAGGTTACAGGGACAATGACCTATTCTGTAGGCTTTTTTCCTTATAGAATCATTTGAATCTGAGATCTGCTTTAGTATACTATGTTGTTGTCAAGTGGTTCTGGTTTCCAAGGAGCAGCTGGTGGGTTTGAAGTGCCGACCTTGTGGTTCCCAGTCCAGTACTACGGGGGTTGGGGAATGGTATGGGGGAACAGATAAAACAAGAAATAGCAGACTGAGGGTAACTGTCACAAGATGAGAAATGGGAGCCCTGAGCAGCCCTTTTATTATTACTTTACATACTCTTGACAACTTCCATAATCCTAAAGGCTCAAGATCAAAATATCTGAAAAATCCACAAAATAAAACCTAAAAAACATCATCTGAAAATGTGCAATAAAGCCCAACATGAAAAAGCGATCGTTTTTATCTCATAACCTCATCCTTCTCTCTCAGAGAGTATACCCATAACCACACGGGGCAGACTCTAGGTTTCCATCTCTGCTCTAGGGACCAACTGGATGTTTCCACTGGATTTCCTATCAGCATTTCCACTTCACTTGTCCAAAGTCACGGCCTCCATCTCTTTCTTCCCCGTCTACTCTTGAACACCCTATCTTGTTAGCAGAGCCACCGTTCTCCTAGAAGATGACCAAGCTTCCGACTATGCTGTTGGCTCATTTCTCCCCAACCCATGCCATCCTAGCTAACCATTGTGGCCTGTTTCTATAACAATCATTATTCTGTTTCCTACTCCCAGCACCTCTTCCTGGGGTGGCGCTGTAGGAGAAACACTGGACTGCAAGGTCTATTTGAATTGCAAGGTTGACTATTCAAACTCAGCAGCTGCTCCTTGGAAACCCTATACAGGGTCGCTATGAGTTGGAACCAATTCGACAGCCCTTAACAACAACAACAGTATTTTCAACAGCATTGAAACCCTTCATCTTTTGAGGCTTCCCTTTTCTTCTTGTCTGTGCGGTCTTTGGAATCAGAAAAACCTAACCTCAAATCCTAGCTCTGCCCATCACCAGTTAGTGACCTCACTGTTGTGATTAAGGGCTGTCGAATCGGTTCTAACCCATAGCGGACCCTGTATAAGGTCTCCGAGGAGCAGCCAGTAAGCTTGAACTGCTGACCTTGCAGTTCAAACAGACTCTGCAACTCTGCGCATTAGCTTGCAGCGCCACACCAGGACTCCAAAGGACCTTGGCGGTTATTTAATCTCTCTAAGCCTCAATTTCCTCACTAGTAAGGAGCTCTGGTAGCGTAGTGGTTACGAATCGGGCTGCGAACCTTAAGGTCAGCGGTTCGAAACTACCAGCCGTTCCGCGGGAGAAAGATGAGGCTTTCTACTCCCGTAAGGATTTACACCCTCGGAAACCCTGTACAGGGTCGCTATGGGTCGGAACCGACTCGACGGCACTTAACAACAACAACAACAAAGAAAGGAAAGGAAAAGGAAAAAAAAAAAAAAATGGAGATAATGGTATCCATTCTCACGAGGCTTCTCTGTGTGGATTAGATAAGGATTAAATATTTGTCAAGACTTTACAAGTCAGTGCCCTTCCATGTTGGTGGATTTTTAAATTCAGTGTTTTCTATGCCCTCCATCCTGTTTGAAGGGCAGATGACTTCCAGATGAATTAGCCTGACGGAGGGTGTGACATCTGTTGTCGCACATTTTGTGAACAGGGAATTGCTTCTCACTTGTCATTTCTATTAATAAAGATAAACAAGAAATGAAAAGAAGAAAAAACAAAAAGTCAGCACCTAACACAAAGGACAGTGATCCTCCTAAAAATGCTGAGTCAGATGATGCTCCTCAGTCTCTCAGAATCCCTCAGTGAAGACCAACTTCCTTAGCGTGGCCTACAAATTCCACACAATCCTGCCCTCCCATCACCTTGTAACAATCTCCCACTATTCCCCCCTCACTCTATCCCAGCCCTGGATTCCTAGTACCAGTACATGTGCCTCAGGGCCTTTGTATTGGTTGGTGCCTCTGTCAAGCAGGCTCCTCCCCCACATGTCCACAGGGCATTCTCTCATCCCCTTCAGGTCTTTGATCAAATTTCATACAATGTTAACTTATGTTACCATCCACTTCAGAGAGATGTCCCAGACAACCCTCTACCCCCCAGGAATTTCCTACCCCGTTTCCTTGTCTGGTTTTTCTCTGAAGTACTGTGTATTTCACTGATTTCATGTTGACGCTCGCTATGGTGAGCTCTGTGTTGACGTTGATGTTAAGTGCCATCAAGTTGGTTCCGACTCAAGTGACTCTGTATAGGATTTCCAAGGAACAGCTGGTTGGTTTGAACTACCAACCTTATGGTTCTCATGCAGTCCAGTGCTGATCCTGCAGTGTCAACACCAGGATTTATCTTTTATTGTCTGTTATATCCCTAGATCTAAAATAGTTCCTGGTACATGTTGTTGTTAGGTGCCATTGAGTCGGTACCGA